TAATACGAACGAAACTCTTATTTCGTCAGGTTCTTCATCAGCAAAATATCCTAAACTGCATAAGATTCATTCATCGTCTATGAAAAAGTAAATTATTACCAGTATACAAAATATAGCTCCAGACCCGTTTCATATACCATTCATATTTACTGGTAGTGAAATTGATATCAACATCAATCCCACGAAACTTGATTGCAGCACGATCATATGCTCTGAAAGAACAACATAATTGAACTCAAACAAACTTCCCAAAAATGACCAAAAAGTAGATGAAGAATCACGACGCGGGGGAAAGCCTTGTCACAGCGAGGCGGACTGCTTCACGGCACGGAGGCCTGGAACTGTCGCGGCGCGGGACTGCTCACGGCGTGGTGTTGGAGTAGCAACCTGGTTCCAATGCACGATGGAGAAGAGGGCCTGGTCTCGGAGCTGCTCTGTTGCACACTCGCGAGTACGACGGCGAAGGGTGGCTGAAGATGCGTCTCTGCTGGGCGAGGTGAAGTGCCGCGGCACGAGGATGCATGCAATGGCGTGACGTGTCTGGACTGCTGGCTCACGTGAAAGTCCCGGGCTCTTTTGAACTCGATTGAACTTGTCGCTAACGAAGCCTTCTAAATAGTCATGCTTGCCCAACGAATAAATTCCTGAAAATCTATCGTCCTGAGAGTTCCAACCTGCACACCACTCAAGACGACAACGAAAACAGAGAAAACGATGAAAATAACCAAAAAAACGCATGGAGACTCTAAATAAATGAAAACACACGACAAAAAACAAAATGGACCAAAACGAACACGAAAAACATAAAATGGAGGAAAAAGAAAAGTAAAACGAACACGAAAAACGTAACAAAAACGGAACAAACACTAAGTATCATTTTTGCCTCCACAGACACACTTTATGCATTGAAATTGTGGATGTGAAATTTCCTGATCACACTTATAGTTTACCCACTTTTCAATTGATTTCCAAACAAGTTTGTGACATTCTTCTCATTGGTTACTATATTTAAATTCATCGTATTTTCTTTTACGAGATTTGATGTTATACTATGCGACACTTCTTTTGACTTTGTTTTTGAAATTAAGATTTGATATTTAAATTGTTTAGTTTGATAAATTATTATTATTAGTATTTTTTTTCTGCATACGTCATTGGAAGGTTATGCCAATCAAGTGATGAAGATCTTCCTTGAGTATCTTGATTAAGTAAAAATAGTTATTATTAGTTGTTAATTATTATTATTTTTGTTATTATTAGATTTTATATAAATCACTGTTGATCTTTGTATTTCTCAATTCTCTAATTAATTACTAGGGGAAAACGGATGACATGTTCGTTGTGGGGACACCATATCAATGGTATTACATCATATGTCAACACTTAACTATCAACCTCCAAATGTGGTGAATCTTCAAATGTGTCATGCAAAGATATGAGAGAGTTATCGTGGGAGTAAGATTATATATTCTTTAGATATTTTCTCTATCATAAAGTTTTACATATATTTTAACTTTTTATTATATTTCTAGAGATTTTAACAATCTCAACTTCATACAATGCCACGAGGGTAGAGACTGGAGTTTTTGTGCCGCAGATACAAGCCTACAAAGATAGGTAATGTATTTTTAATAATATCTAAACATAATGAGGTTGACTTGTATTGATTAAAAAATTAATAGCTTATTAAAATATGTTGTCTTTCAATTATATGTGAGATGTTAATAATTTATTAAAGTATGTTGTCTTTGAACTATATGTGATATGTATGTATCCTGTTGATTTGCAAATACCTTTTAAATTCACGTGGCATTAGTTACCTGTAATTTCCTATGTGATGACTGATGAGTATAGAAAAGAGTCAATGACTATTAGTAACATACACGTCGGCCTATTATTTTCCAATAAATGAAAAACTCTATTTTGTGCTATCAGACGCGCAAGCAGTAATCTTGGTTTAAAAAGATTAGTTTGTGAATACCACTTTGACGGTCATACCATCAATCTATTTATAATGGAATATTTAATACTATCAAAATAAATTTCTTTATTTATTTTTTATTTTTTCTATTGATTTGCAAAAATATAAAATTTTAATTACTTAATAACTTACTAAAATAATTGTTATTGAAACATATTCTCTCCGTGCCTCACACGGGTTTAGCACTAGTGGAGAGTAAGGATAATATAGTTGAGTTAAAGTAGAATTAGATTTTGAGTTCAAATTTGATATTCTTTAATTATATTATAATATTAAGATAATATGATTGAATTAAAGTTTAATTAAATTTTGAGTAAAATTATTATTATTATTGTTATTATTATTTATCAAATTGGATCACAAGAGCTTTACAGGGGGGTTTGGCGCAATTTACCCCAATAAAAAAGCATTATTAAGTAAGACGTGGCCAAAGCCCGAGCGATTCACGGCCCGGCCCGTAACTAGCCCAATTATATCCTAAAGGCCCTGCGGTTCATTGAACCGTTAATTAAAAAAAATAGAATAAATATAATTATAACTGTGGCCCAGAACCAGCTCGGCCCGGCCCGGCCTGGCCCGACGGGTAAAAAATGAGTATAAGGCTATGTTTGGTAAAACTAGCTGATAAGATAGCTGATAGCTGATAAGTTTGCTTATAGCTTATTAATAATTTTCGAGCTTACTTATAACTTATGACTTATATCTGAAAAGGTAGCTTATTTGATAAAAGTGTTTGGTAAAATTAGCTGATAAGCATGTTAGAATAAAAAATTCATCTAATTTATTTGAAAAGCTACCTAAGGAAGCTTATCAAATAAGCTCGAGCTTTTTTTAAAAAGTTCGTCCTACCAAACGAGACTTATTTGAATACAGGGAGCTTATAAGATAACCAAATAACCTATTACCAAACATAGCATAAACTAATCAAATAAGCTATAAACTAGCTTATTAGTTTACAAAACATAGTCTAACATGACTCGTAACCGGCCCTTAAGGAGTTATGGGCCAGTCCAAAAACCGGCTTGGGCGGGCCAGTTCCGGACAGGATCACGGGCTGGTTCACGAGTCGGGCCAACCCGTGACCATGTCTATATTCAGTACCCCTTTATTTAAACAATTTATTTTATTTAGGGGAAATTGCACCACATACTAACACATTTAATTTATATAACACTTTTGTACTCCTTATATTTTTATTTTTTAAATCACCTAAGAAGCTAAAAGTTTTTTTCAGTTATACCTAAAACACACCGTTATCTTTTTTTAAATGGTAATGAGATATTTAAGTGAAATTAAAGTTGGCAGTTACCTAAAAAATAGGAAACAAAAGGGTTGATCATTCTGCCAAAACCACCGCACTTACCTAAAGAATAAGGAACAAAAAGTGTTATTCATTATGCCAATGTTCATCCTGTTCAAAAAATTTTGCCCAATTCAAGTTTCAATGGCAAAAAATTTTGCCCGGAATAGACGGAGGCTTCCATCTGGATCGAGTCGTTCTTGGGGTCGACGGCGTTGGGAGGGAGGAGGAGGATGTGTGGGAGGTTGCTGACGCCGAAGACGGCGAAGGAAGATTGAGATTCCTGAAATTCAAGGTTGAAGAAGAAGATTTCTGGGTAGTCCCCGTCGACGGAGGATCTGATCATGAAGGCGAGAACCGCCCCGGCAAAAAGAAGACGGAGACGAAGAAGAAGATGACGCAGGAAAAGGCAGACGAGGTCGTGCGATTGAAGTGAGAAGAGACTGTCCTTATCTTGATACTGTCAATAGACATGTACTGAGTTGAAAATGTATATAATTCGAAGGTATATTTACAAAACCGAGTTGGTATATGTTGGGTATATCCGAGTATATCCGAAGTAACTTTTCTCTGGTTATTTGTTTAATAATTCCTTTATTTTCTTGGGGTTATATGTTGAGTATATTCGAGTATATCCGAAGTAACTTTTATCTGGAAGACTTGTTTTTTATCGCACATATACTGAATATGTACTAACATAAACTCAAAATATACCACCTGGCGGCTGCGT